GACACAGTTCTACCTGAATGTTCTTGAGCAATTGTGTTTTCTCAAACAGTAAAATATAAAGACTGCATCACTAATTTTGGCGCTGAGCGCATCAGTAGTCATCACGGAACAAAGACTTTTTGTGTCAATGCAGACACAAAAGAACACAAGGGCACTTTTAGTCTATTTTAGTAAACAATAAATAAGCAGGATAAATGTATTTAGATTCACATCAGATTTTCATTTGAGGAAACGAAGCTTCTCTAGATGTGGTGTGAGGTTATCATTGGGTTTCATGTCTGTCATTATTCACAAACCTCCTCCTCCTTCCAGGCATATCAGAAGTGGGTGAGGGAACATGGTCCAGAGAGACTCCTGCCCGGCTTAAAGTATACTCATGAACAGCTGCTCTTCATTGCCTTTGCACAGGTAAAGTCTCAAATGAATTTCCCCCTATGCATTTCATTCCATTTTCATATTCAATCGTTTTATCATCTCAGTTCAAACTGGATCATGGAGGGCAGGTGGAAGTTGTGTGATACCCACACTAACCGATAGATGCAGTGAGTACTGGGACTGGCAGAGTTAGGATGAGAGTTCAGTCTCCAAGCACAGGACCACCCCTGCTCCTTCAGACTATTAAGAGTCGTCATCGAAATTCAACGGCTTGATTGAAATTCATGGCTTTATGTCTCAGTGGCAACATGTAGCAGCACTTTAGAATGCAACGTGGAGTGTTTAAGCCCATTTTTATGACTCTTCCCCTCGGGGAGGTGTTATGAAACTCAGGAATGTGTGCTTACATTCATTTCAAATGTCATATTCGTGTGTGAATAAAAAGCTTGAGGCTATTCAACCGCCTCAACCAAAATTAAATCGACTCTCCAACCTGCACCGCAGGCCGACACGCGTGCTTTTTATACATGATCATTTATTTAGAGTTCAACTTTTAAAAAAAAGATAATCTTACAATCAACTTTTAATTATTTAACTTTTTGTTTTTTTACGCTTGCTCATACAAAATATCCAACTGTGACTTCTCAAACACCAATTTGTACAGCTTTACTTTCATTTTGGTGTGTTCTTGTTTTCTGGGGGGGGGGGGGGGGGGCCCTACCCCTTTACGTGCGTGCGTGCGTGCGTGCGTGCGTGCGTGCGTGCGTGCATTTTTATTACTCTGTTGGTTTTGTCTGAAAGCTTTGGCCTTTTGCATCAGTAATTTTCCAGGTTCGGGGATGTTTTGAGCCTAAAGGGCTACAAATCAGCCAATAGCTAGAAAAGCAAAAGCTGCATGTTTTTAATGATTGAATATTTTATTCCTGATTAAATGAACAGAAACAAAACAAGTGAATGAATGTTTATAATACAACACAAAGTTTTAAAACTATTTTTTCATGTTCACATCAAAGAAGACTAAGCTTTCTAAAGATGTTTTAGAGTACTTTTTTGTCATCTTCCATATAAATGAAAGGCTTAACATTCCTTAAATCTGCATTTCATGGCAGAGTTTTAGCAAAGATCAACTTGTGTGTTGAGAAATTAAGGAGGTGAAGCTGTTTTAGTCAAACTTTGAAAACAAAAATGGAATGCTCCATTTCATGCAAGATGTCCGGCCCAGCATCGACGCCGTCAATGACTTCCAGCTACTACCACAAAAACTGAAGTCAGGATCTGTAACACTGACTGTGTGGTGGCCATCTTGTTTGTGTTGACTCAAAGGGTAATCAGTTGCACATCTAGTAAAATTACCCTCTGTAAGTTTAATTACAACTCCTCCAGTGGCTCTTTGACTTTTTACAGCTGTAACATCAGGCGCCACACACTTCAATAGCATCATGGCTATTTCTGGTCGGCACGCTACTCTATTGTTTTTGTCACTTACACCTGATTTTTTTATTGACTTTTAAATACAAACATGTTTCTAAAGTAGTTTTATAAGTATTTGACACTGTGATAGTGACGCGTAATGTCACCGGGTGATGTCATGACTGCAGAGCGCAGCTGGAACTGAGTTGGATGTGAACACCGTTTAGGCTAATGATTCTATGTACTGGAAGTAGGCGTGAAACTTACACTACAATGCATTTCAAAATACTGACTGTGAGCGTGCACGTTAGCACCTGTAAAAAGTTACTGAGGTATTTTAGTTAAAGGCATGCCACAGGGGAGGTGCAAGGAATACTTCTCTGACCTTCTCAATCCCACCGACACGTCTTCCATGGAGAAAGCTGGGTCGGAGGACTTTGGCTGAGTTATCCGGTAGTTGTAAAGCTTCGTGGTGGCAGAGCTCCGGGGGTGGCTGAGATTTACCGATTCCCTTAAAGCTCTGGATGTTGTGTGAATGACACGACTTTGCAACATCACATGGACACTGCGGGCAGAGATGAGAAGTTCA